CGATTATTAACGAAGGGGGTGAAGAATATGCGAAAATTGGAACAGGCAAGTCGACTGGGACAAAATTGATTTCTGCCTGCGGTAACATCAAAAAGCAGGGTGTATACGAGATCGATATGACGATTTCAGTGGAAGAATTTATTTATAGCGATGAATATTGTGGGGGAATCGCGAATGGCAAAAGATTGAAGGCTTGCATTCCCGGGGGATCATCCGTACCGATCTTGCCTGCCAACCTTTTATTGAAAACGGCAAAGGGAGAAACAAGAATGATGACTTATGAAAGTCTTGCAGACGGAGGGTTTGCTACTGGTTCAATGATGGGTTCTGGTGGTTTTATTGTGCTTGATGAATCGCAATGTGTCGTACGTAATACATATACACTGGCCCGTTTTTACCGTCATGAAAGCTGCGGACAATGTTCACCCTGCCGCGAAGGAACTGGTTGGATGGAAAAGATATTGTTGAATATCGAGAATGGAAAAGGGAAGATGAGTGATATCGACCTGTTATGGGATATCCAGCGGAAAATTGAAGGGAATACCATTTGCCCACTTGGTGATGCGGCAGCATGGCCGGTGGCAGCCGCGATTAGGCATTTCAGGGATGAATTTGAATGGCATATTACCAATCCCGATGATGCTGTAAAAAGAAATTATGGATTGATGCACTATGCAGATGAATTAAAAGTAATGGCTTAAAAAAATCCATTTGGCACGAATTATTCGAAGTGGCCGGATGGTTTTGTGAGGAATAAAAAATATGGCAGAAGCACCTAAACTATTCAAAGTAACTATTGACAACATTACGATAGAAGTACCAGCCGGCACTTCTATCCTCAATGCGGCGCGCCAGATCGGTGGTGATGTCACGCCGCCTGCCATGTGTTACTATAGCAAACTGCAGGGCAGCGGTGGTAAATGCCGTACCTGCCTGGTAGAAGTGGCCGCAGGCTCTACCGCAGACCCACGCCCCATGCCCAAACTGGTGGCCAGCTGCCGTACCAACGTTATGGACGGTATGGTGGTGAAGAATATTACAAGTGACCGCGTGATAGAAGCAAGCAACGGC